TCTCATGGCTCTCGAGAATACGGTAAGGGTTAAGCCATGCACCCGGAGCAACCCTCTTCTGTCTACCGTTTGAGCTATTTCTGACCCTCTTTAGAGATGGACAAGAGGTCAAACGATTCTGGAATTGATTATCTTTGCCAGCTTGTCTTGTACGGAATCTTTCTTGTACTTCGGGTGCAGTTCGGCGAGGGGGGGGGCATTCTGCACTTTTGCTTCTTCCCGTTGTCGTACAAGATCTGGCAGCCTGACTGGTATCCCTCCATGGCCTCACAAGATTTCACAAATCTTTTTTAATGGCTCAACATGACAACGTGGAGAAAAAAAAGAAACCAAAGTGTCAAAAGCCTCCCCCCTCCCCACCTTAGCCGGACTGCGCCTATTCTCTCGTCTTGAAAAGGTAGAAAGGGTGTGCCCAAAAAGGTCAAAAGTTCGAGTGAAGATGAGGAAAAACTGAGTGCTGGTTAGCCAGAACTGGCGGCGGGAATGGCAACAAACAATTGACGGCGAAATCAACCTTGAACGACAATTGGAGCGCTTCGAATCGACAAATGGTCGTCTGAGAAAACACATTCCCATACAGGGTTCCCAATGCCAAACCGACGTCCGCTTGAGTGTAACTGAAACGAACGAGTTCACCCTAGACCATTTCTCGAAGGGATCTTCTCAAAGACTTACCCGAGTTTTATCCTCCTTTGTTTGAATTGCTTGGCGAAAGCCTCCAAATCGTCGGGACAGCCGGGTTCAGAATCGTCGGAAAGTTGTGAATGAGCCGCATCTTCGTTCGGGAACGGATATGGCCATGGATGAGGAAGCCGTTGGATCACTTCAGGTCGCTCGGTGTCAACCTGAACTCATAGTTTTGAGAGCTAGAATTGAAAACTGAGCCTTGAGCGAAGACTCTGTACTTTCAACGATTCTACTAATAGCATGTGGAGAAGAAGAAGATTAAGATGTGAGGTGGGAGAGAGAGAGGGTAAGTCGTAATCAATTGAAGAGGCGCGAAGGCGGACGGAGCAGGCTAGCGTGACGACGACAACGACATGATGGAGGAGTAGGAGGAGGTGATGGAGGAGCAGGAGGAGGTATACGGTCAGTGAATTGATTGAATTGGATCGAGTCGAAAACGAGGAAAAAAAACTGAACATTGACAAAAGCGCTTTATAAGACAATTTCGCTCTCTAGAATCAGCTACAAATTCAAAGAAAAAAGGAAAAGGGAAAAGTCATTTGGAGGGTTGAGGACCCATTGTGCAAAACTGGGATTACCGTAATGTGAAACCAACTTCGAAACGAAAAATATTGGTTTACCTACGGCTACAGGGCTTCTGTCAACCGCATGTTCTCCCGCTGCGACGGTCCAGAGCTATTTTCTCGACACATCATCTGACCGAGCATTCGAAGGAGGGGGATAAGGAAGTGGGAGGAGAGGAGGATAGAAGGAAAAGAAGGTAGGAAGAAGAAAAAAACGAAGGAGTAGGAAAGCTTCGCGGCTGACAGATATCCTGATACCGTTCCCCTTCCCAGAAGCTTTCCCTCCAAGGAGTAGGCACAAATCTTCACTCCAGTCAGGGTTCAGCATCGTTACGTCCCATCAGAAGGGTTCGTATGTGGCCTTGATAGGAGTTTTCCCGAGTTGCGATAAAAAGTGAGACTTTTTCCGACTTTTCCCGTTGCATGTGCGCCACCCTCCGGGTTGAGGCCGCCTCAAAACTATTACATAACTACTAGTAGGCTGATTCAGCAACCCCCCCCCCACCCTTTCTGTTCGACGTGACCTATTCAGTGGGAAACTGGGAAACGTTTGTTAAAAACTGGGAAGTGTGGTATGGAAATGTGGAAATAAGGAAGATGGAGACGGGGAAAGGGGGCGTACCAGAGGAGGAAAATTTGGAATGAGAGGGGGGTTGTAGCAACACCGTCGTTTCACTAATCACGATGCTGTACCCTGACTCCAGTACTGCAGTCCCACTTTTACACGAGGGGACCGTTAACGTCCCCCCCCCCATAGCCGTTGCTCTAACGACTTCATTTCTCAACATCGCTTACAAAATAGAAAAACCAATAAAAAAGCAAAAGAACAGAACCTTCATTTCGTGCGGTTGAAGCATAGCTGGTTGCTGCAGCTGGAGATGAGTCGGGTAGGACCATTCGGATTGTGGAAAAAGAAATGGGAATTGCTGAGCCTGAGGATACTGCACAGGAGCTGCAGCAGCTGGATTCCATTCTTGAAACGCCTCACAAGTTGGTTTGATCACTTGAAACTGAAAACGTAATCGATGAGTAATGAAGAGGATGAGTGCCTCAGCGGCCCTCCAACGCCAAAGAGAAAACACAGCTCGGGCGAAGCAGTTCGACCGCACAACTAATAGTGCTGGTTCGCGAAATCAGATGCGCCTAACAAGCAGGCAGAAATGAATAAACATTAGGTTCATTTGCATCGTTGCACGAACCGAAACGGCCCGAGCCACTCAGCTGAGCAAGTCGAGGCGTCGTAGACTCGAGTCCAGTCAGTAGGACTGCTCACTAAAGGTGGGCATCTCACCTGAGCATAGTTAGGAGCTTCTTCCGATGGACACAGGTTGTTGGCCAGCATTATGGACGAGTGGCGGGATGTGTTTCAGCAGAAAGGCGCGCCCACCCGTGATTCGTCGCCGCCTGCTCGCTCCGCCCCCCGTACGCCCTCAGCTCCGCCTGGCCTACCATACGCCACTATCTGACGGCCCCTATAGGCCGTCTGTTAGGCCCCTATAGGCCATCGCTTGCCTTGACTATGGGGCTTAGATCCTCCCGTGCTCAAGATGCTCCATGCGGCTCTCATTATACTTGAGGCTACCGTGGAATGAGCTCACAGCATGCGATTTGCATTACGAATGAACGCTCCGACAGCCAGGTGATCAGCGCCGCGCAAACACTGCGCTGTATGGCGCTTGCGTAACTCCGTATGGACAGCTTGGCCAAGTCCCAGACAGGTTGCATCGGGGCCAACGAGAGGTGTCAGCAGGTTGTGAAGAATGGCGGGTGATTATGGCGCTGCCGAAAGCTCTCTCCGTTGTTCCCAGGCTTTTGCCCTGATGCCTCTTCGACTAAGCTGACGTCGAACTCAAAGACTGAAATAGTGGACGAAATCGCTATTCAGCACAAGCGGACCAGCGCCTAGCAGAGCCTAGCAGGGTCGGAGCGCCCATTGATGGTCCGTTAACCCCGTCAAGAGGTTCTCACAGCGCTCACGTTAGTTGGCGGTGGATCTATACGGGAACTTGTATCACCTGAGATAATCCCGAGGTACTTGGGTGTGATTCAGCTCGGCATGGCGGCCAATTGCCGCCACACCGCTCCCCCTCTTGCCCTCTCATTTCCATAATCTCGTGAGAGAAGCGCACTTTTATGGGATTCGCTGACGCGGTTCATTCACTCACCGACAACTCCATACAAGTGACTTTAATGTGGGCTAAACAACGGCCCAAGCGCTAACGTTTGCCCCCTATAGCCCTTATTTTAGCAAGCCCCAGCCAAACCTAACTCCCTGAAATCCCCGAACGGGGCTAATTCCCTAGCATTGTTTACCGTGACAAACACCTCTGCATGATCGCTGACGCTACTATACAGTAATCGGGTCAGAGCAAAATATGGACGGAGATTATCGCCAGTCAGTCGCCTCCCCCCCCCAGCCCACACCGTGTAGCCGGGAAATACGGTGTCTGAAATTTACTATCGATTGAATAGCACGCAATCGGAAAACAGAAACTCCCACGTAGAACATTTGCATATTCGGTCGATCCACGTCGTCGCCGTCGTCGTCGTCACAAAAAGGCATACCATACCCGACAGCCACCCCCCCCCCCCCGACATGAGTCAGACGCAAAAAGCCTTCAGGCACCGTAAAGTCCTTCTCGAAGAGGGGGATGGCTCGGGTGGCATTTACGCGATTTGGCTGTGTTGATGATCGCGCATTAGTAACTGGTAATTAGCGGGGTGCAATAATTTGTTGAGCGGGTAATTGCGCTAATAATTGCTTGAGTTCGCTTAGGGAATTCACCTTCTCACGTGGAGTACTGTAGTGCAGTTTGATTGAATGACGTCATCGTGGGAATCTGGAAAAGGAAGTGCTGCAGCTACTTTAAAGTCCTTGAAATTGCCTATAAAAGCCTTCTATAAAACATGAATAAGGAAGGAAAATACTTCCTGTTTTGCATGATTTTATGAGCATTCCCGGATATGCTGCCGTGCTTTCACTCATTAAGAATTGCGCGGAGAATGAAGAGACATTTGGTTTCTTAAAAGTCATCTTGAATACGGGGCCGTGCCTTTTCATTGCATGGAAGACCAGCGCCATCGGTATTTTTGGTCTAGTTCGGTGGGGGGGGGGGGGAAGTGCTGATTAGCCTGATAGCCTGAGAGGTGTGGATCTAACAGGCCGCTTTTACACCTGTAGAGCTTTGTCAAATGTTAATAAAACTCGTGCTATTGCATAGCTTTTCGAGAGTTTACAGGTCTCCACAGGAGGCATCAGCAATGATCGATGGGAACCAGCAAAATGCCCCCACCAAGCCAAACTGTGTCCTTTTGTCTCTAGCCTGGGCAGTATGTTAGGAGCCTAAATATATAGTTAGGTAGAATAGATGGATAAATAGATAGAATGTGTAAAAAAGGATAGCTTGTTGAGTGCGCTATGGCCTATACAACTACTTTGCGGGGGGGGGGGTGCAGCCGATGTGCAAGTCAGTATTTTGTCAGAAGTCTGACACCAACTGACCCCTCCCACAGTGTAGAAGAAGGGCCCTGAGCTGAAACCCTTTGGCTTTTGAGGAGTAAATCTCGTTGTGCAGGTAAATCTTGCTTGAAAAGTCGCACCCCTATGCTGTTCCACCAACACCCATCTAAAGCCGCATCCATACTTCGCTTCTCGAACCATTTAGTTGCAGAATGAGACGAGACTGCGTCCAGCCGCGCTCCATCCTTAATCGTGGACCACTGCAAGGGCCAGTTCCGTCATCTCAGAAGTCGTTACTTCTCTTTTTGTTAAACAAGTGGTGAAGTTAATTATGATCGTGGTCGGGAGGGGGGTAACGGTAGTCGGAGTGTAACTCTAACGGAATTTTTACTAATGGTAAGCTTATACTCTGCGGATTCCCAACCAGGGCAGGAGCGCGCTAGCCGCTCGGTTAGGTGCTCGAGCGGCGAAGGGGGGGGCTGGTTCGCACTTGGTCTTTCCGATTGTTGTTCTCTTTCCCTTCCGTGGGCATATCCCCGCGCCGCAAACTACTGGAAGTCGATTATCGTTGTATGCTCTACCCCTCCCCCCAGCACGGTTCGACGGCAAATTTTTTATGGAGAGCTTAGTAAGTTTAGCGGAATGTGACTGGTCGGTTGTGAAAAGGAGGGGGAGATGAGTTGGGCGGAGTCACCGTTGGCAAACTTCTCCGGAATGCTGGGATGTGCCCCGTTTTCACAAGTTAACCCGCGAATCACTAACCCAGTAATTTTTGACCCACTTTAGTTCAGTGTTTATTGTTGCCTGCACTAAATTAGTACATACAGCTTTGGCAATCTGTCAATTTAATAGGCAGTTGACACGATGCCAAATCCGCGAGCATTTAGAGTGGCTGGCTGGCAATGGTGATGGTCTAAAGGCAGTCTGGCTAATATAATTATGTGGTGCCATCATTGACAGATGGGAGTGGATTACGCCGTTACAAATCACACAAAGTAGGCATAGAGAGAAATTGAAGAAGGCACCTAGAAACATACCCAGAGTACAATGAAATGATGTTGTAGGCGTCAGTTGTAGGTGTTTTATTTAAAGCCGTTCTGCTTGAGGAGGGCTATATTTCAGTCTCGCTAGTTTTTTTTTGCTAGTTTCTATTGAATTACACGTCACACCGTGGTGACGCTTGCAGATTCTTGTGAAGTCTGGTTGAAACATCCGCTATTATCTCGCTTAACAGGAACTAACAAGTCTTGACAATGCTGCAAAATGCCTCCACCAACCCAACTACACCTTTTTTGAGGGTCGTGAGAGTGCTATGTTACGGGATATGATGCAGTGGAAAGTGGCACGCATGGTAAAAGTCCCTAATCCCCTCGCGGCTAGAAACCACCATCCATGAGGTGCACAAGTCGTTGTGGAGGCCCACACGTTCTCTTGCACTATAATTCCAGTGGTATTCGAATGCACGGGCGTATTCCAAAAAAAATGTTGACGCAGCTGAATATTCTATCCCTTCGACCATTTTTGGCCTAAGATATTAAAAATTCTAGCAAGATAGCCACAGACTTGTTCGCTGCGGATGATGGGGCGTGTCAGTACCGCTGAATTTGCCGCCTCGGTAGCCCCTTCTCTACCAGTTGTTGAAGTGGGTAAGCGATAACAACTGGTAGAAAACGACCCACATGGAACTATGAACAGCCTGGACCTTGCAAAAAAGAACGGAGAAAAACGGGCTGGGGTCGTGTCACACCCAACCCTTTTGACAGACGCCCAATCTGCCGCGAGCGAACGAAGACTATACAGTCGTATCCAGGAGGTCCTATATGTGATGTAGAAACTCCTTCATGCATCGAACTCATTTTCAGCCGCTCGCAATCACTCTCTAGAGGGACACAGGCATACTTGTTTATATAGCGCTCCTTGAACGCGCGAAATCATTGAGGAAATTTCCAACTACCCCCTTTGAATTCCTTCGTTCCTAGCCAGCCTGGCCTAGCAAATGTTGCACTCTCCCCTGCGGGATGGATTCCATAGCGATAACCCAAACTCTCGCCAAGCCAAGTGAACAATAATCGAGGAGACTTTAGGATATTTTCTACATTCTCGGGCTCTGGGTATATTTTCAACCCCGGAAGACCTTATTAGATTTTGTAGAAATAGTAAACAACTGGAGAGGGAAGGCTCCAGATGAAAAGATTTCCAAGGAGAATATATCATCTTCACTCATCACTATATTCTTGGCTTAACGTAATCCGAACAGGGCTACCGTCCCTTAGAAGCGCCCAAAAAACCATAATATTTCAGATAAGTTAGACTGAGATGCTAGTAATGGAAGTGGTGGACCAAGGAAGCGTGAGCAGCTCAAAGAGGTCATGGCGGCCTGGATGGCTTGGACGTAATCCGAGTGCGCCAGCGAGCAATTTCCGACAGAAAAAGAAGAGATCGTGTTCATCCAATCTGGTGCTCACAATAAGATCATTGAGTGGATTACGTGCGTGTTGACAAATTGCGTCAATCTTATGCCCTCTCATGTCCTCATTCCCTGATTCCCCTATTCTAAATTTGAAATGGTGCGGTCTTGCAGCTGAGATCGATTTCGAATTCGCTCGCCCTCCTTCTGCACATAATCAGTAAAGCGTCCTCTAGCATAAGCGGCAAGCGACGATGAGAACCTTGAAAGGGTCCGGGGTGCCTGGGAAACGCTTGGAATACAAGAGGGAGTTACAAGTGGAAGTGTTTGAGACCCTATGACTGACTGATATAAAGGTCGTTTTGAAACGCCATGCATTTATTTCTCGTGGAAAGGTTTTGGCTTGCATAGGTTTACAAAATCAGAACTTCTAGACAAAATGGGCTTGTTCAAGTCAATGCGTGCGGTTAACAAAGTCAGTACAAAGTTGGCACAAAACTATAGTAAATTTGGAAGTTCGAAAGCACCTTTCGCGTTAATCGACCGGTGCACCCTGGACTACTCTCATTTCTCCTTACTGTGCTTCACGAATGGTGGGGCATTTTGAACTTTCGCTTGTTCCCTTTGCTGTTTCATGTTAACTAACTACTTTAACTTTGGTGAGATGTGTAAACTCTTGTGAAGCTGTACGAGAGAGCCATTGCAGTTATGAGAATTCACAAGGTAAAGTAGACCTACAGTTGCATCGGGGAGTACCGGGTGCCTCACTAAGCCGAACTGCGCCCGCCCGTCTATTCTGAAGTGGCGAAGTGGAGGAGCTCGTCAACGAGGCAACACCATTGTAAACTTTGCCCAGGCCATACAACGACCGTGACATCTTCACAGTCATGGCCCGTACAAGATCTGGTCGCTGTGCAGTTTGGGAGGGGTGGGCTTTTTGCAATTTTGCTAGTTCGTTTTGGCAGTTCCTGTTGAATTACACGTCACACCTTGGTGGACCTTCAGACACTTTACAAGTGTAAACGAATCTCTGCTGTTGCGCAGTTTTACAGGAATTCACAGGTCTTTACTGAATGCATCGCTAGTGATCAATGGGAACCAGCGAAACGCCCCCACCAAGGCGATTTGCGCCAGGATTTGGTTTGTCCACAGGGATCTTGTTCATCTTACGCATTCCTTTTCGAGAATACAACACTATTCCCATGACTGTGTTCGCTTGTGAAGAAAAGGGCTTCAACATTTCAGGACAAGCCCTTCTACAAGCCCATTTCGCGCTGGTCGCAGGGTTGGGTCCGGTCATTGAGGTGGATCTCCCTTACCGATGCACCCTACACTTTTTATTAGTTAGTCAGTTTGTTAGAAGGGAAGCACCAGTGAGGGAAGGTATAATGCTAGCCCTCCGCCCACACGACCAGCGTGGAATTTGCCCTGAAATGGAAGAAAAGCTTTTTTAGCGAGATCAGGATTTCACATCGTGCATGATTCAATTCGAATTTGTTTAAAAACGATTTTTTTCAAATATAAGCGGGCTTTTTCTTGTAAAAGTTTCATTGAAAAGGGATGAATTCTGGGGTGGCACAGAGCTCTTCTAATGGATAAGGATCACGAGAGGATAGCATTGATCTTTGTGGCTTTGGAACACTATCAAGTGTTTCGGTGGGCACCGAGTTGGAGGTGAGGAGGACAGCCTGAGGCAGGGATACGGCAGCTTCTTCACGTTCACGTCTATACTTCTGCCTTCGGTTGCAGAACCACACTCGCACCACCTGAAACGACAGCCTGGGTTATCAAACTGACAATGAGAAACGGATGGAAAAGAAATTTGTACACTGAAAGTCGTAAATAATATTTTAGCGCAAAATAATAAAAAAGCGGAGGGCGTGTAAGTGCGCAAGTAGCGCGCTTACCTTGCGCGTTCCCGCGGCAATAAGGTAAGCGCAGGCTATTGCCGACTGGCCCAGGGCAAACAAGCACTTCCATCCTCCGCGGATGGCCCCTCGGGACGGAAAATTGGTACTAAATGGAGGCCATTTGTGGATCTGGTGTCGCTATTAAAATAGGGGCTCTATTTACCCTTTACTGCTCCAATCTTACGAAAACAGGCCAGTTTTCAACGACTTTTTACTGCATTGGCAGAATTGGCTAAAAATTTGTTCCCTGGGGTATTTTGACCTCCTTTACATGAATATCACATCCGCTCGGCACGAAACTCTCCTGGCGCCCGCGCTGCAGGCGCTGGCGCCAAAATATCCCGAACCACCGGCGCCTGTGGCGCGGGCGCCAGGAAGTTTCGGGCTAAGCGAATGTGATATTCGTATTCAGGGGGTCAAACTACCCAGGAGACAACATTTGAGCCAAATCTGTGCACGGAGAAAAAAGTCGGTCAAAATCTGGCACAATTCTGGATGGTTGGGGCAGTAAAGGGTAAATAGTGCCAAAACAGGTATCTAGGTACTTGCAGTCTTGTTCGATGGGGATACTGGGACATGTCAATGGTACCGGGCTTGGCGCGGGGCCAGCCAGTTTCCCACCAACTGCGATCATTTGCTAGCTTCCAGAATTGGTGGAGAATAGGTTGGCGCTGCGCCAAACCAGTCTCTATAGCGCGCCCCAGCACTCGCCGCCAACAAGGCTGTAGTTGAGGTATTTGCCGATTTCTAAAGAGCAAATGGCAAG